TAAACAGATAAAACATTGTTAGGAACATGAACTACAGAAAGAAATGCTCTGAGTCCTGTGAAAGGGGCCGGGGTCAAGGCACAGAATGCTTCTGATTCCTTGTTTTTGTTGGAACTCTTACATCCAGGTGTTCTTACTTGAGACAAAATGACAGGTCTTTTTCTGAAGTCTCCTTCATTCCCCACTGCAGACCCACACTGCAGCATTCATGTGCTTCTCATCCCCATCTGAAACAGAAGACACTCGGACTACTCTTCTGTGAAATTGTTTGAAAAATCTATTTAGAACATGCAAATCCAGTTGCTTGGAAAGACCTGCTTGAATGGGCAATCTTTCCTTGGGGGCAACAATTACACTTGTGAAGTGGAACTTGTGAAGTGAATCAGGTAGAAATTCGTCATCAGTACCTCACACATTTACTGCTGTGCGTTCATGCAACAAACACACATGAAATCCTGTGAGAGCAGTCTGATCACTGTTTTCCCACTTCCAGTCGTGACATTGGCGTTTGTGGCTAAGGAAGCAGGTGACACAGGTGAGATAACATCCAGTGCTAGGCCTTGCATCAGCAGCCAGCTTTGTCATGTAAGACTTTCCAGGCTAATCCCTGGGGGCTGGGAGATCTAACTCTTGTGACTGGACACTCCACAGACAAATGGATTTCCTGCCATACAGATGTGAGATGCCATATCAAATAAGATCCAGCATCCATACAAAGCTGTGTTCCTCTTTGTCTCCAGAAAATACTCTCATTCAAACATACAAACAAATGTAAAGCTTTAGAAAAAGAAACAAAGGAATCATTTACAGCGTCTCCTCAGGCAAATAATCATGAATATGGTGGGGACCATCATAAATAAAAGTAAGGCTTGTAATGAAGAGTTCAAGATGCTATGGCCTTTTGCTTCAGGGCTTTAATAGGTCAGCAGAGGACTTTTTTTCTTATAGAGCAAGTTCTCATGAACAAAGTGTACACGACACACCGCAGGAAAAATCAACAGTGAATGACAGGGCTGGTGGGAGCGGGTAGGGGTGGCAGAGGAGTTTCCAGAAGATCAATCTGGTTTTCATTTTCTATAAGCTGAACGGGCCAAAGCAGCTCAAATTAAAGAGTAGAAAACATGCTCAGATTATGTCTGAACTGCTTGGTAACCAGACAAAATACGAAACAAAACAAAAGCTATAGCACTGCAGTAAAAGATTGCTTGCAGAGTTCAGTAAAAAAGTCCATTCAGCAAGTTATGTATGCTCACAGGAATCTGTGAAACTGTGTTCCCAAATAAGCTTTATAGACACATAAAAACCTCCCAGATACTCGGGAGAGATTTGAATAATGAAATCCACATGCAGCTTAGGTGCTCAAAAATGCTTTCTTTTGTTCTGGGAGTACCAAAAACAGGAGAAGAAGAAACTGGAAAGCAATCTCAAGCAAGTTCTGCTGGTCACTTCCCAGCAAACAAATTTTGATCTTTAAAAAGCCAACAAAAACCACAGATACTTGTAAACTGGCTTTGCAAGAGAGAGCTGTTTGTGCTTGGATTTCCAGCTGCATGACCCTACTTTTTCATCCAGACACTTCTGATGTTCCATATGATGGAAGCCTATTGTACAAACATACAGAGAAGGAAACAGTCCAGATGGGAAAGCTAAAACCTGCTAATATTTGGGATCATCACTAGCAAGCTGAAACTCTGTGGAAGTCAGGCCACTTCTTCACTCAGTGCAGGCAAGGAGGCTTGTGCAGAAGACTTGAGTAGTGATCTTTACAAAACTAACAAAGCAAAAAAAATCCCTTCCCTCTTTGATGCAAAAACTTAGAGTAAAAAAGATATTTTTAATTAAGTTTCCGAATGAGCCATTGCTACCAAGAGGACCGGCCGTTCCGAGCTCTGTTATGGTCCAAACACACACTCTGTTTTGGATGGTATGCAAACAGCAGCGCCTTTCTCCACCTCACTGGTTCAGGATTAGTCTCCTCTTGTGAGCTCTGTGAAGGGAAATTTCCAAGAGCCCTTGTTTGCCAGGATCTCAGAAGCAGGATGCTTGTAAATTTTACTTTACTGCCTACTCATAAGAGGAGACCGTGAGGGCACAGCAGGGAGGGTGTAGGAGAACACAGGGAAAAGTATCACAAATACTGCAGCCAGAGGGAAAACTGAGCACTGGGTTTGTTGTTATAGGGTCCCAACCAGGGAGCAGTTTATTTTTCCAAACAAATCTGCTTCGCAGACATCCTTTCTTCTTCCCCATTCAAGTTTCAACCAGGAAACCTGGAATAAGTTACGGTTGATTTTAGAGGCAAATCAAAGCATTCAGCCTACTGAGCTCGCATTTAAAGTTAGCCTTTATGAGGAACTCCTTGGGGCCCTTGTATTCAAACTGTGAAGTCTGAGATTCACCTGAAATGCCCACACATACGGATCTGTAATGAGGCAGGAAGACAAGGAAACGGGCAGATTGGTCTTCAAGCCTCAGTTCTAACAGCAGAGGCTCCATATTTCAAATCAAAATTAGAAAAAAAAATCAACAAACAAACAACAAAACAAAACTTTAATAAAACCATAAATAGTCGTTCCAGTCATGTACTTACTAACTACCCAAGACCAGGACAGAGCTGGATTTAAGCAGAATGAATGGGTTGGGTGTCCAGCAGGCACACCACTTTGGAAAGGCTGAGCAATTGTCTTTCTTGGATTTGGATTAGGTTGGAATTTCAGAGGCATTTTATCCCAGATCTCTTGTATTCAGGAAGCTTTCCTTATTGGCATCCTGACACTCGACCCTTGTTAGTAGTCCTGCTACCACTTACCAGAATCATGAAACAGAAGCACAATGGAAATGGATTAGTAAGAAGGCCAGTGAAATTCCACAAGTCCCTTCTTCAGGCCTGACAGCAGTTCTGACTGGAGGCTCTTACCAGCCCATTTTGTTGAGGTAGTTTGATGTTACAACCTGGCTGCCAGTATAAAGAAATGAGAGTAAAATAGTGGATGAAACTGAGATAGCACAGCAGGTTATGGCTTGCATGTGGCAAATTTGCTTTTGTTTTACCCACTTTGAACACCACCCACCCCTGCTTATACCGAAGCGTAATGGTGCTGTCTGTACTCCCCCAGGACCAAGAATTTCATATAATTTAATAGTTTCTGTAATTAGATATTTGTGAAACTGAAATGCTGTGATGAAAGGTGCTGTAAAACTATTACCAACTTTTTTGCCATGAAAGGACTCCTCCCAGCTCGAAATACAGATGTTGTCCTCAGTGCACATCATTACTAATCCAAATCAGCAGTACTTATGGCCTGATTTAAATCCTCCTGAAGTCCAAGATGAGTTCTGTGGGTCTGAGTAGGGCCTCAGGAATTTTCAAATGGAAATGAAGTCAAATTAACCTTTTCTTCTCTCAAAATTAAGACCTCCTTTTCCTTGGTAATGACAGGAGCAAGACTGTTTGAAGTGAAGTGTAACACCAAGTGCTGCCGAGAGCTGTGTGAGGAATTACCATATCCTTACATCAAGTCCAAGGACTTCTCTTGGCTGCTGGATAATCGTTCCATGTATTAATGCAGGAGTCTGTAGTGCCCCATCCCACCCCGCCCTCCTCCTGCCATGGGTTTCTACAGGAGGATTCTATTTTACATTTAGTGTTCCTCGTTCCCAAGGAATGACCTAAAATGTCTTAAACACAGCTGATACAGTCATCCATGTCTAGCCATCAGGCTGGTTATGGATTGTTTAATATTGATGGACCTGAAATATCAGCGCAGATATCTAAACTGACCCAGTAATAACAACGTGATGGGAGGGCAGAGCTGCTGTGCCAGACGTGCCATTTCTCTAGCTCTGCTGCTGCTGAGTAGCAGCTCTGGTACCAAACACACCACGCATTCTTTAAGAAGAGGAAGTAGGAAGAACATTCCACCATCATTCCTGTACTCAAAGAAGCAAATGAAGAAGGAGGGTAATTGTTTGCTGGTTACTGCAGGAAAGATTGTTTGCTGGGTCTTTTTAAACCAGTACAACAGGCTTGTTTGCTTCAAGCTACTTAGATATTAAAGAAACAAAAATGATTTAGTTTTTTCATCTCAGGGATTGCCAGCATCTCTAGAGCAGCAGCACTCTTTCACCTTCTTCAGCACAAATGTTACCCACACCCCTCCAGAAGTCCTCTGCCACTGGCTTTCCTCTCTTACCTCGATGGCATCCCCCATCGCCAGCCCCAGCAAACAAGAGAACCGTGGTTCAGCCACACAAAGAGAGAGCCCCATGTGCTGTGCCGGACTCGAGGCCAGCCTCATCCATCTTCTCTTCTCTCAGTTTCTTCAGTGTTTCAGTAATTAGGATATTCAGGACTGAAACATTGCGGACATTATTGCTGCTTAGCGTGAAGTTAACAAGAGAGCCAGATTTACAGCATTCTGGCCAGACAGAGAATTAAAAAAAGTTACGAATGATTGCCCAGTTGCAGGGATACAAACTCCAGGATCTTATTTTGCCAGAAACTCCACATGAACTTTAGCCTCCAGGAGAAATCCGCCTGCATTTTTCTAACTGACATACCAGTCAGACCAGTGGCAGGACGCAAAGGAACACGCATGAAAAATTAAGGTTCAGTGACCCAAATCAATTATGTGTTAAGGGCACTGCTCTGGACTCAGTAGGAAATAGTTGAAACAGGAAAAAAGAACTAAATGGAATCATTCATTGAACTGACCTGGAAATAAGACAGAAATTTGGTAAATAAGTTCAGCGCAAGCCAGTTTCATGTAGTGATGGCAGTGGATTAAAAAAGAAAATTTAAATGGGGGCAGGGGAGAAAGAAACAAATTTCTTAGACTTGAGTAATGTTTCAGACTTCTATGAACAGTGCAGTAAAACAAAGCAGTTCTCACAGCTTCCTTGCGCACAGGTGATGCAATGCAGTTTACTTCCAGAAATAAAGTTATATTTAAAAAAAAGCAGTTTATAGAAATCCTGAAACCGTGTCTTTATCGAAACAGGACAACCTACAGCTCTTCTGTATCAAACAAAAGCAATCATGTAAAGCAAGAATATCTTCTGAGGATGAGGACCAGGTACTGCAGCTGTGGATTTTTGCTTTTAAGCACACAGGCACGAGGTGGGGAGAAACGACTCCCCTGCTTCAGGACATCAGGACAGAACTGCTTCCCACACTGCCTGAACTCCAGGCCCTGCTTGCAGTACCTCGCTGCCAAGGTATGCTGTAAACGCAATAGGAAGAAGCTACAGCAATTCATCAAGGTCTAAGGAAAATAGGAAAGACCTATCACTTTTCTTCTCTGAAAGCACAGAGTACTTTTACAAACAGTGATGAGATTAATAGACAACGAGCTTCTTGCCAACAAAACTTTCAGATTCTTTGAAGGTCCCTTATTTGTCTTGACTGGTTCAGATTCTTGGGACAGAAACACAGTGTTCTGTAGAGACCTATGAAGTAAAACCTACCTGGAGTTACAAACCCTGCTCACGTGCCATGAAACAACCCCTACACCTGGCAGCTGGGATATGAACCAGATGTGTAGCGCATCCGGGCAGGAGCAGGGCTGCTGCCATCAGCACTGAGCTGGCAGAGGGATGGACTTTTCCAGCCCAGCGATTGTTCAGAGAGATTTCATCAAACGTATCTCTTTTGCCTTCACTTTTCTTAAGGCAGAGGTTGACCACAAACGTCCTCAAACCTACTGTTTGTCGGCTTTCAACACTTGAGTGTCTGCATGCCCTTCCCTCCCCAGTCAGAAGTGCATATTTTGCTGCTCCAGTTGCATAATTCCCTGATTCAGCTGCATGCTTGGTTGGCCTGGCAGGAGCCTGGGACGGTCGTTGAGATTCTGGATACATTGCCAATTGTGCAGTGTGCTTTGTTGATGGGGGCCGTAGAATCTAATAGCTGAAATTTCATACACTTTACTAATCAGGCCACATTCTTTGCTAATTGAGGTGCATATTTTAGTAGTTGATTTTTTTTTGTTTAATCCTTCACTGATCTTGGGAAGGATCCTGCTCCCTCTGAAGCGAACGGGAATTTTGCCACGGTCCTCCCTGGGACTGAGACTTTCACCAGAAGGTTGGGATCACTGCAGATTTCTTCTCTTGAAAGAAATAACAGAGACTTGATGTTTTTTTAAGCCATCAAGTGAGCGGCCGAATGCTAGGTGAAAGATGCCACTGACACAGAGACCTCTTCCACAAGGATTTGATTAAACACATAATATTTTATGGGTATACAGAGACCTGGAATTTTGACTATGTGTTTCTTTCATCAGGCTTCCATTCTTCCTTCCTGGATCTTCCTCCTGGATAAACAAGCCACCTGTCCGCACATTTTGTTCCATCTGATAGAGACATACAGGAGGAAACACCATTCACCTTATCTTCAAATTATCTCTCGTTTGCTTTCACTCTGATTCTTATGTTGCTGCAGTCCTTAGTTTGGGGGTTCCAAAGCAGGCTCTGTTTTGCTACAAAACCTATTTCAGCATCCACCCAACCCTACAACATCCCCACAGCCTCAGCTCTGACTGGCACAGAGCACCTCCCTGGATGCCCAGCTCAGCCCGCCATCCCTCACACACACAGTGCCCGTTCCAAGGAGTCTGCTGTGGTTTTCATACTGCTAATTCCACGCAGGCAGATAATTCATTTCTCATTTTTGCTAAATCGAACCAGATTTGAACAAACCATTTAGAGGATTTTTTCCTAGCATAGCAACACTATCAGAAGGCAGCCAAAACAGATAAAAATAATGAAGCCTACACAGACCTTGACGAGAGAGGAACAAGTACAACTTAATCAAAAGAATAACAAAACCAGGGAGCAAGAGATGTGTGCGTGTGTCTACATGCATGAATTTCACTGTCACATTTAGGCAGATAAGCTATAGAAAATGCCTAGGTTTTATTCTGCAAAAGAAATTGTCCTGCATGTTTAAAGACTACAGGCAGTGTGCAATCACATGAATAGCTGACATAAGAATAAGTCATGCCTAGGAAAGTAAGGGGGAGGCTGCTGCTGCTTCCTTAGGGAGGCACTTCTGCTATGGTACCCGTAGTCAGTGCTTAACTGGGAAGGTAAATGGTCCTGGCTTCAGAACCAGAGATCAACAGGAGCTGGCTGGGAAAGACAGGAAAAAGACAGATGGAACAAAGTGATGCAGGGTTTGCTGATGCACACGGTGTCACACCGTTGAACTCACACCCAAAGACACACGACAGCAAATATTTGTTCCTTCTCATGACTGTCCAGGCAAAATTAGAACGAAGCACAGGAAGGATGTAACAACTTCGGGCAGGGAGCAGTCATGCAGTGTAAGTGTGCAGCTGGGTGCGGGAGTTGTTCACCCCCAGAAACAAGCCCGAGGGAAGGGTAAGTTTCCAGGTTACATGTTGCAGTTCTGAGTTAAAAGAGAGACCAAAGACAAAAACCCACAGCCGTACAATTCAATAGATTAAAGCGTGCACCTTTGTGAAGTTGGTACTCAGTACTTCAGAATCAAGATCATGGCTTAAGTAAGAAGTTCTCAGTAGCTATCTTCACGTGAGTGAGATAAAACATTTCAGCCACGAAGTCACTGCTGTGCTGGTATGTGCTGTGGCAGGCTGAATCATACCATGCTGCTTTCCCCCCTTAAGCAATCCCCCACATTTCTTTGATATATTTATACATAACTAAAGAAATACTTTTACAGAATATTATTCTCTTATAGCATCATGGCTCATATTTCATAGATCTGAGAACCTTCACCAGAAGCGTGAAATTTTGCTCCAAGAGCCCACATGATCCCCACGAGGGCAGCGGATCGGGGTTCTTGCCCTTCTCGCAGCACCCAGCTTCCTTCGCCCCGCAGCCGCCCGGCGCTCCCGGCACCGCTCTGCCCCGCTGCTTCCCACTGCCGCCCCCTCCGCTGCCAGCGCCCGTCCTACGGAGCGCCCGTCCCTGCCGCTACTCACCTGCTCTCGGTACCACAGATGTGCACGAGGCAGGAGAGCAAAGGGAGGGTAACGCGACGGGAGGTGCTTGGGTTGGGTTCCCTGCTCCAAGCTACCCCTCGTTCTGTCCGCCTTTGGGCAAGTGCTCCGATTTCTGCCGGGAACGCTGATATGTCGATATCCACGGGGCTCGCCCCGCATCCCGCGTCCGCCCGTACCGAATCGGAACGACCCGAGGCAGGCTCCCGCAGCCGGCCTTGCGGAGCCGGCCGCAGACCCCACCTCGGGCGGGGGCCGAGCGCAGCCCCTCCGCATCCCCGCGTCCCGGCGGATCGCGCCGAGCCCCGCTCCCGGCGCAGCCTCCCGCCCGTCGGGTGTGCCGGCCCCGACCGCCGTCCGCGCCGTGCCCCGCAGTGCCGCGCCGTGCCCCGCGTGCCACCGGGGGCGGGCAGGGGCCGCTCGGGGTTACCTTGCTGCCTCCCGCCCCGCCGAGGCAGAGCGCCGCGGTCGCCGCCAGGATGAGCTCCGCGCCGGTGAAGCTCCGGCCCATGGCGCGGGGCGCTGAGCCGAGCCGAGCCGAGCCGAGCCGAGCCGCGCCGCTCCGTGCCGTGCCGAGCTTTGCGCTGTCGAGCCGCGCTGTGCCGAGCGGGGCTTTGCGGAGCCGTGCCCTGAGCGGGCGCCGCTGCCAGGGACCCCCCGAGCCCGGCTTCCCCGCCCCTCGCCCCCTCCCCTGGCTGCTCCCGGCTCCTGCCCTCCCCCGGGGGGCACCTGCGGCGCGGGGCGGGGGACCTGGGCTGGAGGGGAGCGGGGCTCGCGGGGTTTTGTCTTCTCCGTACTTGGAAAGCGCCGGACTGCAGGCGGCGCGGCCTCGCGGGCAGCGGCTGGAGCGGCTCCGGGGGAAAGTTCCTCCTGCGGGGAGATGGGGGCGATGGGGGCCGCGTGCTGGCGGCGGGCAGGGCCGTGCCCCGGAGCTCGGGCAGGGTCAGAAGAAGGGGAAAGGGGAAAAGTGCCCGAGCCTTTCCCGGGGGGAAAAATCGCCCCGGGTTCGCGTGAGCAAGGAGCGGAGGGAAGGAGTGCCGCCGTGCATCCCAGGGAGCCCAAAGAGAGGGAGCTGCGCAAAAAACACTAATCTGCGTCCCTCAGCCGCGTAACCTCTGTGGAGGTGATGGGAGGACAGGGACACTCCTTATTCCGTGGCATTTTGTGAGTTGCCAGCTGAAAAGCTCTCTCATCCCCGTCCTGCAATGGCACCTGGCAGCCCCACAGCCCCAGCGCTGAGGACTCGCAGGTGGCAGCGAACGCCGATTGCTAGCTGCAGTTAGTTCTCATATTCTGCAGAAGTTGTTGCAATAATTTAGCATAGAAGTAGAATTTGAAGTCAAAAAATTGTGGTTTTACAAATGACAGTTGCTTTATGCTTGGATCTTTATGGAGCTCAGCTGCATGCACAGCAATGAAGCAGCACGCAGACTCAAGCCAGCAGCAGGTGGGTGCGGGTTTGGCACACCTTGCCCAGAAACCTCCTGTGCTGGCCCCGGTTGGCCCAGGGGCACTGGCATGGCACGTCCCAAAGTCCTCCTTCCCAAAAGCAGGCATTCAGGCATTCACCTGGCTTTTGAGGGACAGTAATTAAAAATCCCCACATAACGCCTTCAGTTGGCTGATGAGCCCAAGGCTTGGAGGGGATCGGGGATGGGATGCTGGTGCTGTGTTGTTGTGTGTGCTCACCCCCTTCTGCATCAGCCCCTCCGCAGGGAGACTTGTGTTTGCTCTAAGCAGGGCGCACAAGCAATATCTTGGTAGCTTAATAGGATTGTTTTTCCTCCTTGCACTGAGGGCAGAAGAAGATGCAAATAATTCTTTGTGTGGTCAATTCTTATTTTACTCTTTTCTTCCCAGGGCAAATGTTGTGTATGTGGTGTTCCCAGGCTATGACCCTGTCAGTTATTTGCCGTGATTGCTCGTGTTCAAATTTGCATTTTGCTCCTTCTGTGTAATATTTCTTTGAGTTCCCTGTCAACCGAAACGGCATATACAAGTGCATGATGTCTGTTCTGAACAGCAGAGAGCAAAGGGATTTTTCCCAGCAGAACGCTTCTGCCTGAAGGGCAGTCTGGGCTCTGTGGCACAGCGCTGTGCTGCGCTGCTGTTCTTAACACCGGCAGTTAAACCTCAGGGCAATGTCACCATAAATGCATGTTAAGCTTTGAAAAATCCCCGAAACGAGAAATCTTTTCCCACATGAGGCTCAGTGTGACAGAAGTAAATATAGAGATTCCTTCTGCTCTTTCCTTATGTTATTGCAGTCTTTGAGGGCATAAGGGCTAGCTGGCAGGAAAGGGTATTCAAAAAGTGGGTTTTATTGTCACTTGGGCAGGCCTAGAACATCAGTATAGGAAATAACTTAACGAAAGAAAGAGAATGTGCTCAAGTCTGGCACTGCAGCGCCCTTTTTAAGGACCTTACATCCCTGTTATTTGGCTTCTTTTCCAGAGGTCATCTGAGTGCAGGCACCCGTAATCCTTCTGAGGCAAGCAGGCAGTGCTCTGGGCTGTGCTGCTGCTCCAAGCTGCAGACCTTGAAGTGCAGCACAGACACAAATGTACGTGGGTTTCTTGTGTTTGTTTACTCAGTTCTTGGCCCAGCCATTTCTGTCTGTATGTCTGTGCAGATCTCAGCATCCTTCTGCCAGCAGGACCTGCCTGCACAACACTGCATCACTCTGGCTTAGCAATAACTTAGCATGCAGAATGAAGGACCAAACTGAGAGCAGTCTGCCCACAAGGATTTCCAGCTCAGAGCAGTGACCCCCCTTCCCCCAGGCTATGGCTTTTAAGGAAATTCTGCTCTGTATTTGTGAGCTCTTTCTGTCGGGAAGCTGTGGGGGGACACTGCATGGCATGGGTAACTTCCTGCTTGAGGGAGCACATGAGACAAGGACCAAAAGATGTCTGGTTGCCTGCTGAAGGTGTCAGGCACGAGGCCAGGCACACAGCAGAGCACTGAGCCCAGCAGAAGCACTCCCACCACCCTCCCAGGGAACATCTGGCTGCTGAGCCAGCTTCCACAGCCAGTGTCTGGAGGACAGCTGTGCCAGGCAGCTGGGATAAAGCAGAGAGATTTACTGGAGGGATCGAGTCAGGGCAGAATGGTGACTGGGACTTTGCTTTCTGCCCACTCTTTATTCCCCATCCAATGTTTTCCTACAGCCTCGCCTTGCACATAGCTGCTGCAAAGCCCAGCTGCTCATCTCCACCATGCATTGTAGAGTGCATGTCTCCGAGCAAGCAAGATGGAGCTTCTCCCACATCTGTTGAGACATCCTACAGGAAACAAGTGTCCTGCTTTTTGTGCTGAGCATCCCGTGAAAGAATTCCAGGCTTCCACACTCCTTTAGTGAGTCCTTCCAAGGACTGGCCCATGTTGCCTGCTGCACAGTGCTGTCCGGGGGCTCTTGGAGTCCCTGAGGGAAGCACTGCAGTGCAGTAGAACAGTAGCACTTATGAGTTAGTGGGTGCAATTTCAACATTTTCTTAACCAGGAACCCCAGGTTGGGAAAGTAACTTCCAGGAAAGAAAAACAAAAACTTCTTTCTTTCAGGCTGACAGAAAAATCATTTATTGTGTAAAACCTAAGCTTAAAGCCACTAAAAAACAGTCATTTCCTTCCCCTCCCTCCACACGCACAACACATGAATTGATACATGGAAAAAGAACTTTCTGAATTAGTTTCCTTAAATACATAAGGCGTCCTGACAGCAGAACTAACCCTTGTGACCCAGGGACACAACAGTGTAATATGCCTTGGAAATTAATGAGCTCTTAGAAGTTTGTTTTTCAGAACAGCTGCTTTGACCAAAGGGAATGCAGCTTTAAACAGGAGGAGGGCATTGGCAAGAGACTTTCAATAACAAGGCCTTAAATCTTAGTTCATTCTGATTGCAAGAGTCCCCATCTGCAAACCTTTCGGTTACACAACACTGCTTTTTATATTTTCACAGTCTTCTTTCGTGTAGGATAGAGGTTGGTTAAATTCTGAGTGAAGCTGTTACATCAGACATGCCACAGTTCCATCAGAGTCTCTCTTCTGTTCATAGGAATGGGTCAGGAAAGCAACACTTCAAATCCTTATCGCCGTTAAAATAGACACGCTAAAATTGTTCAGGCAGCGGCGTGTAAACGTTACACGCATATAAATAACAGACCAGTAAATAAAATATAAAATACAAAATATAAAATATAAAATATAAATAAAATATAAATCAGATCAGTAAATAAAATATAAAAATAAAATATTAAGGCAGCCTTTCCTAAAGCCCGTTGCCGAAGAGCTGGCACCAGCCTCATGTTCTGTGTTTAACACAAAGCCATTTTTTGCTGGGAGGGAAAAGCTGGATGCCGGAGTCTGACTGCAGCCAGCCAGTAATAGAGCTTTTTCTGCATGGTTAGCATAGGTTTCTTTTTTAATGAAGTTTTTGCAGACTGAGTGACACCAAATAATAGAAGGATGTAAGCAGAAAAGCATGCAGTAAGCAGAGGGAATTGGAACGTGGTGTTGTCAGTGGTTAGGGAGTGAGATCTCTGCTAAGGAAATATTTAGAAAAACATGCTTGTAGCTTTCATAGCTGTAACTGAAAAGCACCACAGCGGCTTTGTGCTGTGCAGAGAGTGCCACCCTCTGCTCCTGCTGAGCACAGAGCCCTTCTCTCCCCCCTCTATCCCTCTTTTGCTACTTCTGAGACATTTGCTCAGAATTTGTAGTGTAGAAGCAGCAGCCTTTCCTTGGAATGCTTTCATTCTTCATGACGCCAGGAATAGGCTGAATTCTGCAGCTCTGTGCAGACAGACTCACTGCATTTAACAGACCTGCTGGTCTTTGCTCCATCAGTCCCTTAAGAAGGGGAATAATGAGAGGGCAGGTGTTTTCAGCTGAGTTTATTGCAGTGGGTTACCCAAACACCCTGATGGACAGGTAACTCTGCATGTGGTCTGTCTTACTCTAAAAGCTGTCAGAGCCAAAATAAATAAAACAGCCTTCCCCTTTTAGGGGCAAAGCCTTGTGGGTTCCCGAAAAAGACAATTCCTATTAAGGTCTGAGGGAGCTCACTTGCAGAGAAGTGGCAGGACTGTTTGGCTGCCGGGTGGAGGAGAGCTGTGCCGGCTGCGGTGGAAGGGCAGTGTGTGCATTCTGTATCTGAAGGGGAGAGAAGTGCTTGGAAAAAGGGATTTCAGTAAACTCTGGGAGATGCCATTGGCTCTTTCTCTGCCGACAGAGGCTGCAGGGCACACAAATACATCTCCTGCACAGCTGCAGGAACCTTT